TGTGTGTACTGTGATGCTCTGTTGTCTCTGAGGCATTGTGACATTTTTGTGTTTATATTTAATTGGTGATTGTATGTTGGAGTGACTTGCCCACAATTTTCGTTTTCTTTGTTTTGTTTGTATGTTATCTACACAAGCAGGGTACTATGCTGTGCTCCTCTGTTCACTAGTTGACAGCACTTATACACTCACCACCTGTCTCCTTTCCTGTTGTCAGCCTCTTGTATATCCCTGCTGACCTGGCAAACAGAGCCTGTTCTTAGGTCCCTGTAATCCAAATTAGAATGCTGTCACTTTAAAATCCAAAATGGTTGCAACTTGTAAAGATTGAAAATGGTTGTACTCTCGGTCACTTTAAGTGTCCAAAATGGCTACTGCTTGTAAACATTCAAAATGGCTGTTCCTTTGGTCACTTTAAATATTGAAAATGGCTGCCGCTTGTAAACATTCAGAATGGCTGTGCCCTCCGGACAGCGGAAAGTCAACAGCTCAGGTTGTCTCCCTCCTTGCTGTTTCCCTTCCTGGTCATAGGCCACCAGCACCATTGTTCCTGTGGCCCTTGGTGACCAGGGCTTATCTTTAGGTCAATTCTCAGGTCCCAACACTACTTGGAAATATTCAGGCTGTTGGTCCCATCAGAGTAGCTGACAGTCTGCAGCTCTGATTGTCTCTGTGTTCACTGTTTTCATTCAGGTTTTTCCACTACTTGGTGCCATATCCACTTCTGAACAGTTCCTTTCAAAGCTTGGGGCTCTAGGATTGTCTTTTGTGTCTCTGTCAGTTGGTTTTTCTTTTCTTTGTTGAAGAGGGCCTGTGTCACTTTTCTGCCCATTCCTCCATCTTTCTGGAAGTTAACAAACAATTTTTTTTTATTATTATTGTGATTTGGGTGAAGATTTACAGAGCAAATTCACTTCCCATACAGCAGTTTACACATACTTTGTGTCATGACATTGACCACAGTTTACCACAATGCAACAGCTCCCAACCCACTTCCTCCCCATAGTTACCTCTTCCCAGTGTCCATCCCTCCATGGACTCCTGCCCCCTAAGCTGTCTCCCTGTGCATAGGCTGCCCCTCTTTTTCAATGATTGTTCTCTCCAAGGAGTGTATCTACCTCAGGTAAATGTTCAACTCATATGCCTGTCTTCTGTTTGGCTGGAAACCACAGGTGTGGGTTCAATTCCAGACCTGAAGGGCAGCTAGGGGCCACAGTCCCAGTGGTTCCACCATGCTCTATCGGACCAGCAAACCTGGTCCCCAACCCTTTTTTTTTTCCTCCAAATGATTTTGAGTTTTGTTCCACATTGTTCTCCCTCTCTATCAAGGGTCTCCTACATAGATCCCCTTCCAAGTAGTGGATGACAGTGGTAGCCGGGCACCATCTAGTTCTTCTGGTCTCATAGTCATATAGGCTGCAGATCAGATGGTGTACCAGTCACTAGGACTAATTGTTTCCATGAATTTTGGTTTTCTTCATTCTTCTTTGCTCTGGATGAGGAGAGACCCATCGTTGC